ACTGCTACAAACTCCACAACATTTGTGTAAGTTAAGATCCAGAAGAATGACTTGTAACAAAGAAAAACTGTCTACTTTTTCCTGGTGATCAAAAGAAGCTTGAAGACAAGCCTTCGATAATAACTTGTATCAGCCACATTACTGCACTGGTGAAATATTGGTATAAATTTAAGATGCAGATTACTGAAGTTAATATTAACTTCTGAAAGTAGAGGATGCTTCTACCTTTTTTTTTTTTTCTTCTCCTAAATGCTAGAGTCAAAGTTGCATTTAAATCTAGCTTACTCAAAAACATCGGACCATCATCTGGCTTAAAAACTCTGGTAATGTCTTAACATTATCTCCAAAAGCTACATACACGCTCTTTCTACAAAGAGAGATGTTGAGAAGAGGACCCTTAAAACATCCTGTACATTATGCAGGACTGAGATTTAATAAGTTTTCAGATATCCTTCATTTTGATAGTATTGTACTGACTCAGCAGCAAAAAGACGGTAACTTTTTTGAAAAAAACAAACAAACAAACAAAAAAAAACACGCTGAGTGCTACAGAACCAGCTGCCTCAGAGAAGGGAGTGCAAAGGCAGCCAAAGCACTCCATACCACCTGTTGGTGCTTTTCTGCTCTGTGGAGGTCACCAGGTCTTACATCTTGACCTGCAAGAAAGCCTCCTCACCTGGCACCTCCAGCTCAAGTCAGGACTGGTGGCTTATACAATGCTGCCTGACATGGGTCCAGATACGTCTGCAGTGCCTCCACCCATGAAAACTGGGGTCAAAGGAAGAAGAGTTTTTCTAGTGCAAAGGAGACAGAACTCTCCTTGATTAAACTCTCATCACAGGGATCCAAATGACTCATTTTTTTTATACATTCAACAAGTAATAACAAGGGGCCTGACAGACTCAACCTTAGTACATGGTACTTATTCTCCATTTTACAAATCGGATTCAATGACACCTCAAGTAGATTGGAGAGAAAAACCAAGTCATATGACACACAAGTTTCACACATTCAACCACACACTTCCCAGCCTGAACACCAGTACAAGACACTCATACAGCACTGAGCACCTATTTTAGTAATTGCTTGGTCCTTTTTTTAGTTATTGTCTTGCAATTCATCAGTGAAATCAAGGCAAGACTGGCATCCTTATTAACCAGTTTGCTGTCATGTCAAGCCCATAGCTGCGCATTTTCCTGGCAAGTATGAATCAACTCCCACCTGGATGATGATTCGCCAAACAGAATAGGACGTGTTTACAAGAAATATTCTGTTAACAACATACTGCCAACACAATCAGACCAATCTGCCAACCTCAGTGGCTTGCTCCCTTGCTAACAACATCCCCTTTGGAGATGGCAGTGCTATTTGTCTAAATGGGCCAGCCCAGAGTTGTGGAAGAATCCAGGTGGGGAAAAGAAAATCCATTCCCCCTTCCCTCCCATGCCAATTAAATCATCTGGTTGTGGCATCTAAAAGAAGGAGAATAACATTTCCCCTTGCTGATGAAGAATGACTAGGAACTCTGACATATCTCAAAGATATTAAAAGCACTTATATGCCTAAACAGTTTTGGGCGAAATAATAACACAACCTTATTACTATTTCCGAGACTGCTCCACAGAACAGAGTTTTAAACCTCTGTAGACCTGTGAAACTGAGAAATTCCCCTGAGCTGGGGGAGTGCTTAATAGTCATTAAAACAACTTCCATTTCTGTTCTTCTGCTAAGAAAAGTAGTAGTCTTGGCCAGAAAGGCAAACTTGATATTCCAGTTGAGTCATCTGTAGAGATTAAACCCTAAACATCCAGATGCAGAAGTGCAAGCTAGAAGGTTTGAATATATTGATTAAGGCAGTAGCTGCCTCATGATTCCACATCACTGAGTAGGGTATAAAAGCAGTGACTACCTTCATGCAGACTACAGGGGGGCTGGGCAGAACTAACCAGCAGTGTAAATGATAATACAGACTCCTTTACAAAGCTGCTCTCCAGCTGCCAGGTTATGTCAACAGCATGGCAAATCGGTCATGGCACATCCAATTTCACTAGTTTTTCAATGGCTAACTGTTAGGCACAAGGGTGGCTTTACACACTTGGGTATTAAAAAAAAAAAAAAAAAAAAAAAAAAAAAAAAAAACACGCACATGGCCAAAGAACTGTCAGAATGATCCATCTCCTGCCACAGCCATCTTAGAAATTAACCCAAAGCTGTGAAAAAATTACATGGCTGAACAGCTTCATCAGCTTCTGAACACATCCTGCACTTCTCAAAAACCTTGATGGAAAGACCTGCCAGCAGTTGCACTGTAAAGCACACAAAGGGGCAAGGAATGGCTAGAAGGACCCCTCGTCTCAGTCCCACAACTTTTCCCATGTTAGCAGAGATTTAGACAGCACAAGAAAAAAATCCTGGCTAAGTAGTTATAGCAGAACCAACTCTGCTTACACAGCAGAAAATGCTTCTAGCTATGTGAACATTTTGACTACAGAGATAAATAACTTCATATGACATGTCTGAGCATTTTTAGTTTTCACAATTCTGAAAATAGCAGCACTTTTCTTGAAAAGTATTATTAACTCACATGTACAGACTAAAATTATGTTCTGCATTGTAAACATTGTAACATTACATTTTGATTGAGAAATGTTAGCTTTCTAGTTTCACACTTTATAGTTTCTAGTTTCCCAATTACTATGAACTTTCAGAGTAAAAACTGAAAGTATTAAAAAAGGAGTAGCTTTCAGTGATGATTATTTTTCCCAAAAATCTTTAAAAAAAAAAAAAAACCCAAACCTCAGAGACAGTGAATGTTAAAATTGTTTGAAGCATAATATAACAACAGAAAATCCATTTCTGTCCTAAGTCCTTACTCAAGGCTTTACGTTATGATTCCATTTTTATTTATATAGCATTGTAATAGTATCTGTATCCATAAAAATGTAAAAGGTGAGTGTGGGAGCATATCTAAGTAACGGAGGCTACCCAAAAGAAGACGGATACGATGAGCCCAACTAAGACCAAGGCAAAAAGATCGTGGGAAAGTCACCAGCTGGAAGAACACAGAAGTAGGAGAGGAAGACCCTGTAAACAAGCTTATCAGTGCAGGATAGAGGACTGTGTGTGGGCCAATCATGTAAACGCGTGCCCCGATATCTACAGCCAACCTAGTACGGTAGAAGACTTTCTGGTAGACTCATATTGAAGCCTTCAGGAGTCATGTCTGGCCTCCCACAGCTGAGAAAATGCAATGCTACGTCAAATATAATGCATATCGTACTGAAAAATAAAATAAAATAAAATAAAAAATTAGAGACCATGGGCAAGCATGGAAGACAGGAAAGTTCCTTTGGCTCAACAATTTCTCTTTCCAGTTTGAAGCTAAAATTAGATTTTATAAAGCTGACAATTATGAATGGCCAAGACAACTATTGACATGCACAATTTCCCAGACTACAAAATGATGTAATAAATGAATCCAAGTTTTACAACATTAGTGCTGATAAGCAAAAAAAATGTTCTTTAATCACCTTACTTCCAGGATCATAATGAAAAATTACTTGTATTTATCTTTTAAATAAACCAACCATATAACAGCTACTTTCTCAAATTTGTGTTATTTCTTTCCATTCTGTTCTTCCAGAGGGAAAAAAGAAATCACTCCAATTAGCATTTCAACTTCACCAAAAGTCTCAAAAGAAACTCACGATCTCCCTTTACAACTAAAACAAGTTTCACAGGCTAATTAGTCAGTAGCAGTCATCACTATACTTAGAGACAACTTCTTATTCTATAGAGCAAGTGTTAAGAAAGGTAGACACTATGTATAAATCTGCACAAATGTCAAGAGAGATCCAATGCCAAGTTATAACTACAATCAGAACAATAATGTGTGACAGGAAAAGCAAGATACAATTGTTAGGCACTTACATATACAAAGGTGAGGGTAAAAACATCAGTATTCAAAAATCTCTAAGTTCATGCATTTTATTCTTCTACGATACTGAGAAACAAGTAAGTAGCAACTACAAAATCTGGCAAAGAATAATTGAATTGAAAAAAAAAAGGAGAATTCAAATCTATGAAGTTCTGTATTTAACCATAAATGTTTCTCAGTATCAACCACAACCATTAACACAGAACTTGAACACTTTGTCCGTTACTACATTGGATGTCACATACAAACCAGATGTTCAAACATGATTTGGTCAGAGTTTCTTCTCAATCCTCCTCACATCATTTTTTGAGGTAGGAAATGAAAATAAATAATCCAGCAGGTACATTTTGCATATACAGCAGCAGCAAGCTGAGTTTGCACAGCATCTGATTCTTGCAGCAGGATGCAAGTAGTTGATTGGGACAATATTATTTCATAGCTCTGTTTAACTTGAGAGCCCTTTTAACTTGAAAGGTGGGGGGATGGAAAAGGGGGGTGGGTTGCCAGGGCAGTCTCAGCAATCCTAGTTTTACTTAAAGCAAGGCTACAGTTTTCTAATTATCCATGACTGAAATGACCCTGAAAGGATCAATATTTCAGAGACAAGGCCAAAAATATAAACCAGATGGATATCAGAAAAAAGTCCAAGTGAAACTGCACACATTTCATTAAGTATAAAAATAAGTAATTATTTTTTCCTTTCATTATGCTTTTTCTATTTCATATAATGCAATTTTTTAACCTGCCTCATTATGACTCAAAGTTTTCAAACCTTTGCAATATCAGCAAAGTTTTGTTTTCTCTTCAATCAATTAAATTTCTACAAATATAAAGCCTGCTCAGTGAATAATCAGAGCAAACAATGCTAAAAAAACAGTTCATTCTACACAATCTTGTTTTACAGATGAGTACCATATATACTAGAAATTCTACTACTTCTCACTTTGACATTAATATCTTGTGGAACTGAACTCTTGCTCTGGATCACTCTGCATTTGCTTCACTTTTGTAGAGTACATATTTCATACAATATTACATATTTAATACAATATAAAGTACTTACCCTTCTAATCTGACATCAGGTAAAGATCTGTTGAGTGCAATCAATTCACTTGCCATTAAATTAAATTGATTTATTTTAAACATTTCTTTCATTTTTTCCTGCTCCTCTTTCGGAATGACCACAGGCTTCCCCATCTCTCCAGGTCCTTCATGTGGCTTTTGCATAGGTTCTGCAACTAAGAGCAAATACATTAAAATGCTAGTAATGCTCCTTTTATGCTTGCTTTTGTTTACTACATTTCATTTTGTACTGTAGGAGCGTTCATGTTTAAAATTAAGTTCTAAATTAACATTTTTCGAATTGGAAAATACATATGGAAATTTAACAGAAGTTATCAAGTTTCTTTCAGGCACTACAACTTCACTTGGAAAAACACTAGGAACTTGCATCTATCCATCATCATGTTCTAAGCTTCTTCACCATACTTTTAAATTTCCCTAAAAACAGACATATATATATATGCATATATAATATATATATATATCTCTGCCAGATTGTTCATGAACATACGAGCTTCAAATAGACTTTTCACATATAATAATTTCGGTTAAGATTAATCAATTTAAAATATAAATGAAATGTTTATTTCCACATTTGTATTTTCACAAATAAGACACTAGCATTTACAGCTTAAAATCATTTATCAGTATTTACTAACATTAGATTTTAGTTAATATAATTATATTTCAAATCTTAATGTTAATATTTGATCATCAGAAACGGTAACACTAACACTTGACATGTTATTTTAATAAGAAATTGTTAATATCAAATATCTGTCCAAACTGAAGAGATGGAAGAAAAAATAAATTCAAACAAAGAAACTGAAAAAACAAAATGCTAAAAACAACTACTAATATATTTTATTTACAAATATTTATTGACTTTTCCCCTAAGTTATTCTGAATTCTCAAATAATCAATTTGAAATATTACTACTTTACAAATTTATCACAAATTAAAATAAAGGACCTAAATAGAGGAGTGGGAAAAATAATGGCGAACGTATTAACATGCCTAAATGGAAATGATCTCATGATCTTTAGTCTCGTGCTACTGTATGGTACATGCATACTGTAACTAAAGTTTATGCCAAAAGCAAAAAGTATGTAAAGAGTAAACAAAAACAAACAAACAAAAAAAATACAAAACCCACATGCCCAAACCTTCCCCCTTTGCCAAAACAAGACTCAAACTTGTGCAACTTCCTTGTGCAAAGCAGGATGTGCTAGAACCTCCCTACAAATCTTTGCAAGCAGGTGGCAAAACAACAGTTCAAATGTACCAAGTGTAACAATACTACATTCCCATAAAGTGTTGGTCTGTGGAAACTGACAAGCCCATTTTGATCATGGGCTAGCAAAAAAAAGAACACTTCCTAAACATCCCCCTGATGTTATTCTGAAATAGGGAGCACTATTCTGGAAGCACTTTCGAAAAAACTGCAATGAAATCAAAATTATCTATACCAGACGTCAACAGGTGAAAAATATTTTCTAACAGAAAGCACTAAATCCTGAGCACAATTGTTATCTGTAATACATGTCCAGGTTCTCTGATGGGTATTTGAAAAGCAGGATGAAACTAATGGAATAAAAAAAAAAAAAATCTGAAGAGTTTTACCACTGACTAGGAGTAACTTATGAAAAAATGTTTTGTTCCCCCCCCACCCCTTTGTATCTGTTTTATTCTAGTTACTTTGATACATCTATTTCCATTCCAACTTTTTCGGCGTTTTGTTTGTTACCACTGAGTCAACTGAAGTTGACAGTATTTTTGATTCACTGAATCAAAGTTGAATTTCCAAAATGTACTCTATGTTATGCTAACATTAGCTTATGTTCCTGAACCGCCTATTGCGCAGCAATTATTATTGCTTTTTCATATTTATGCTTAAATCCTTAAATATTGCATATTAAGATGCCCACTGAAGATGCATCTGAGAGGGATGATGCCTGAATTCTGTGGTGTATTAAAGAAACATTGCAACACCCAATTGCAAAGTTTTGCAAAAATCAGTATTAGTTCAGTTTTTATACCTCTGGGGGGGGGAGGGGGTGGGGAATAGTTTAAGGGAAGTGTAACTTTAAACAAGCATAACTTAAAGATGACTCGGGGAGAAAACTTACCATCACCAGCAGGCAGGCCTCGTTCTTTTTTCTCATCACATTTGTTGCACTCACTGAAGTAAAGCAATAGAAACATATCCAGAAGGACCCAAACCAATGAGGTGGCAAGAACCACCTTGCAATATGCAAATTTTCTCATGGCACTTTTAGTCAAATACAAAAACTAAGAAATATAAATAAAAATAGCAACTGATTGCTTTAATCCAGTTTGAGACACCACATTCTGTACCTGTAAAATAAAAATAATAATAATAAAAAAATCAAAAATGTTACCAGAGAGTAGAAATTAAAATAATAAAATCACCAATAATTATAATTTATGTTAGTTTATGGTAATTATGACAAGCCTATATGTATCAAAGTGAAGGCTCTCTTCATGCCTGTGAGATTAAGAGAGCAGGGCCACTTAAGGCAGCAAAGCATTTTTTTTTTTTTAAACATTATATAAAACAACTGGAAACAAGCTAAGTAGAAATACAAAATTGGCTCAGCAAAGTCAACTGGCTGATATTCCTCATACTTTCCCCATGCTGTACACACTGACCTTCTGTGGCCATCACTAGGAATGGTAGTCTACAAAAAATAATTCACATATATTACTATAAAATGGAATATCATGCTTTAGCCATAAAGACAGGTGCTTCGCTCGCTCTCAATGAGCCCGAAGTCGTACCCATTTTGTTAAAAACCAAAAAAAGAAACAGAGCAAAGAAAGTAGTCACATGCTACCATGACCATTTACTAGTCATTCAAAAACCAAAGACTTCAACACTTGGATGCTTAAAATTTAATTATTTAATATTTGACTAGGAAGCGAACATATGCATTTTTCAACAAGTATGAATTAAAACTTCAGAAGTCTAACTTCTAAAATCCCATTTTGTTGCTCTCAAAAGCAAATTTTTAATAGAGACAGCCATGTTCCATCAATGCCAAAAAATATTTGGAAAAAAGAACAACTAGGGGTTGTTCACTTGAATTAATTAAAAAAATATATGAGATATTTTTAACTAAGAGCTTTTCCTCCCCCACTACTACATTGTGCATTACATGGTTCATTTTATACAGCCAAACTGTAGAGAATTCTGCTAACTGCTACTGTACATAAAATGAATAAGGTTACAATTTGTCTTGGAAATACTTCCTTTGTGTCATTTCTTCTGCTTCCTGTTAGCAAAGGAGTTTCTTTATGGGAAGACTTATTTCAATATGTTTTTCCAGAGTATTTCCCAGTGGGAATAACTTACTAGATAAACAGAATTACAAATACTCTTAATTTGCTTTTCTTTTTTTTTTAAAAAAAAAACACACTTAAAATACAATCTGTTCTTCAAAAATATATATTTAAATACACACACACAGTCTCACACACATTTCAAGTCTAAGCTACAGTATTTTTAGAAAGGAGAACTTTAATCATGAGACATGATCATGCAGCAACCTCACCAAAAAACCCTGTATATCATTAAAACTACTTTTCCTTTTGTATTTCTTAATCATGATTTATTTCCTGCTTTTTATTTGCTTCTTGGGGGAAAGTACTATGATATTTCCTAAGTACAGTTTGCTTCCTCGTCTCACAGGCTCCAAAGGAGGCTCTGTTGGCATGTATCCCCATGTAAATGGCAGTGGATTGGATGGCACAGCCATCTAGAAGTTTTTAACCTTTCACATCCACAGCAGCAGGATATATTCCTTCGCTTCCTGCACAGATGCGCATTAAATGTCAAGAATGAGCCCTGTTTGGATTTCTTTCAATTTGCAACTACACAATTCTGCAGTAACGCACTGGAATACCTTGCCACAGCACACTGCCAGGGCTGCAAGTCTCTTCTGAAGCTATGAAATGCGAAGTTCTCACCTCTAGTTCAGAAAGTCCCTGACCTTTAAGTCACTGTATGTTGGAAGGGTACAGTGAGGCTTCCAAAACCACCCACTCTGAGGGATAAGGACTGCAGAGCAGGACCTGACTGACAAAGTGAGGCAGGCAGCATCCTGGGTATACTCTTTCATTTCCCTTTTAAAAGAAGGGCTACTACGGGTCTCAGGCACTTCTGAAGTGCCTGCACAACACAAACGCATGAAACATGACAAAGGAGCCAGGAGGAATTACAAGTCTGTACACAGCTGCAGAGCTATTACCTCACTGGGATTACAAACATATGATGGGATATCTTATATAACCAGAGTGTTACAAGTGATGGATATAGGCTCTGCAAGAAACACAGGCTTGGATGACAAGAAGGGTTGCACTATATAAAGGAGTGACTGATATGCACCGAGCTTTGCCTAGAAATAGGTGGTGAACCAAGACAAGGGCACAGAGACAAGGATTAAAACATAGACTATGACAGGACCCTGCTACAGATCACTTGGTCAAGAATGAAAAAAAGATGAAGCAGTCTTTAGGACAACTGCAGGAAACCTTATGATCACAGGACCCAGGAGTCATCAGGGTAATAACCAGCCCAGTATCTCCTGGAAGGACAGAATGATTGGGCACAAACAAGCTGGGAGATTCCTAAAGCAAATTGATGGCAATTTCTCTATGCACTTAACTGATGAGCCAAGCAAAACAACTTGTTCTTTCCTTGCTCCAGCAAGGAAGGATTTGTTGAGAACATGAAAGTCAAGCACAACCCTGGCTGCAATAACCTGTATTAACCTAACCGTGGAGTTTAGGATTCAGAAAAAAAGGGAGCAGGATGTTACAAAACGGGACTTCAGAAGAGCTGATTTTAGCTACTTCAGGAATATACTTGAAGGATCCCTCGGGAATTAAAGAAGTCCAGGAGGCCGGACTGATCATCAGTGACAAGTTCCTCAAAGTACAGTAGCAGCTCAGTCCAATACAGACATTGTAGAAGGCTAGCACAGATAACAAATGAGCTCACCAAGCTCAAATGCAAAAGGCAGACCTGCCATGAAGGAATACAAAATCCTATAGGAAGTTAAGCATTGTTCAGTATAATGTTAAGTCATTTTTAGGTATGAACCAAGTTCACTTTTGCTTACACCAGTTCTTCAACACAACTGTCCCTAGCTGAGACTTGACAAAGGGCTGCACTGTATTTATTGAGCTAGACCAGGATCCTGCACTACATGCAAGACCTAAGCAGAGATAAAATGATCTAATGCCAAAATTCCTTTCAGTTGTTGCAACTGAAAACATATTCTCAATTACCTTTATAGCAAAAGGATTTAAAGGTTACCCTATCAATTTGCAAACTTGCAATCTGTTTTGGATTCTTTCCTGAAACCTTAAGAAACAGAACTGTTACCAGTACCTAATTAAAATTAGCATGGCAGACTGTATACATTCCAAGTCAGATGGACTACATTAAGAAAAAGGGTGGCTTTTGATCTTTCAGATATGTTTAGAAGGACGCTGGGACAAAGTCAGAGCTCATCAAAAACATGACATAATATTTACTATTTCTAAGTCACTGGTATCAAATTAAACCAAAGACAAATCAAGTCAATGAACAACATGCAAGGAAATCTTGAAGGCCTATACAAAATGGATTTTCCAGTATTTCTACTGCATAACGCAGAAAAGGCAGAAGAGGCAGAAAAGACTGGCATACTCTAGTTTACATACAATAAGGGTGTGTGTGTATATGTATATACATACACATGTACATATATAAAAATATTTGATCACAAAGTGATATACAAGATACAGATTTGTGAAAAATAGACCCACAATGAAAAATAGAAAATAAAAAAAAATATATGCCTACAAGAATAATCCTTAGGTAATCTGGGGACTAAGTATTTTAAGCAATCTTGAACTAGATCTAGATTAGCAATCTTTACAGGCCTTGCAATTAAAAGAAGGCAAACAATAATATAGCAAGCATGAAAATCTTGTGGACTGGAATAACAAAAGTGACAAAAAATTAAACACAGGACACAGTATTATGCAGCTGAGCATCAATCCCTAACTTCCGCTATCAGCTGAAGAGCAATCAGTAGAGATAAGGTAACTGAGCTGCCACTGTCACCTTGTTTGACTCTTACATGCATTGAGTAAAGTTTTTTCAGTAGATATGCAACCCAGAAACTGCTGTACAAGGCATCAGCACAGAGAAAGGTAGAGCGATATGTTCTGCAAAACAGTTGTCCTAAAATTCTTAAATATCTTCTGCACTTAAAAAGGACTCTGTCAGGGGACTGGATACAGCAGTCCAAGCAGTCTTCTTCCATCCTATTCTTTCAACCTGGAATTTATAATATAGTAATGCACATATGCCCAAAGATGTAAAGTTAATCACTTCCAGAAGCAAAGCAGATGCCAGTCCTTTGTAAGTAAGATCCCTCCCACCAGTCTGGTCTTCTTCAGAGAGAGTTTTTTTAGTGGGCCTTTTCATAGGAGTAGGGGGAAAATCAACCCCCCACCACACACACAATTTCCTTGATCCTGATAGAAGTGCTTTTTGAGAAAAAAAACTAAAATTAAGAAAATCCATTACTGAACTTCCAAACTAAAGCCTTTGAAAGGCTCTAAGTCATTTCTTTTTCCCAGCCTGAAAAGACACTCTTCAAATCAACTTCAAGAAATCCGCCTTGCTTACAGAAAAACTAAACCAGCTAAACTAGACAAGGCTTCAAAGGACCAGATGAACGAAACTTTAATCAAGTACTATCATAAGTTCAGGAGTTTATCTGCAGCGTTTGGATTTAATTTTTTTTTTCTTTTTGCTATACAACAAAAAAGGATTAATAGACTGATCCAGTAAAGAGCCAAGATACTTGATATCACAACAGCACTGTAAATGTTACTAGCACTCAGGAGGATTATAAACATTTGTATTGTAATTCCATTCTTGGTTTCCAAAGACAGCTGAAAAAGTAGCTTTCCAATGGTCAAAAGAAATGTTTTTTTAACTTCTGTCTATTCAGGTCTGAAGAAAAACTGAAAAAACAGATTTATTCAGGCAGCCTTAAGATGTTCCCATTTTCTCCTTAACCACTTAACAATTTAAAATGTATTTCTATTATGCTGAGTGAACAACCAGCATATGCCAATCCTGCAGCAAAAAAAAAAAAAAAAAAAGTTGGTTACTATTAAAAATTACTGCTTCAAACATTGCGAGTACACCATAAGTTCAATTTAATTACTAACACATAACAAAATGAATACACACACATATGACCTTGAAGTTAGTAACTGTACCTTTTAAACTTAGGCATTCAGTTATAATTAGTAATTTAGCTATAATTAGT